GTCAACGTTTTGACTAGAACATTGTGTCTGTGTAATATCACTTCTGGCGGAAACTGGATTGTCACATTATCTTTTGGATCGTTTATTTCTACACAGTGGTGTTCACCGCATATTTGCAGTCTTTGTGCTGTTCCTACTCCGTATATGTTTACACCTCCAAGAATGCATTCTGTTTTTATGGATGTAACGGGTGTTTTTTGTGCTTTGGCTTGGTGAGGGAACAAAAAGAGCACTGTCACTGCAAAAATCCATGCATACCACTTGACCTTGAATGGGTTTCCAGCATTCCTACTTGTTGTGTTGTATACGTAATGCACATTTTCTTTTGCTTTCCTTGGCAATGAAGACCGCATGGCGTGTTCTTGGTCTTCCTCGTTGCTTTTTGGTTCACCAGTATCGACGTTTCCTTCATCGTTTGGCAGTGACTCATCGGTTTGAGCACTACTTTGTACTTTTTTATTTTCGCTATCTAGTTCTAGCGGGACTAACATGTTTATTGACCTCGTAAGTGTTGCTCGTTGCGCAGTACGCAGCGTCACTTCTCGTATCTCCCCATCGGGATCATACTTTACTGCTTCGATAATTCCCATAGGCCATGAACCTCTTTTTGTGTTTTCATCCATTATTAGGACAACTTCGCCTTTCGCAGGGATCTTTCTAGTAAATGATTTCTGTCGAATGCGTTTTTGATGAAAGTTTCGCAGTTCTAAGATATATTGTGCCGTCCATAACGACCATAAATTGTCCAGATATTTTATAGTGCTTCTCAGTTTTTGAATTGTTTCTTCCTTCGTCGTAAGTACTTCTATGTAATCTTCATCGTCTTTGTCGATATTATGCGGTGCCATTATGTTTTGTGTCGATTGCGGCATGAGAAAATCGATCGGGCGCACGATCAGCGAATCTTCGAGTGAACTACCGCAGTATGCGAGGGGGCGAGAATTTATGATTGCTTCAGCTTCCGTAATTATGGTTTGAAATTGTGTTGGATTGAGGGATGTTTTTCCTATCACTTTTCGCAAGCACATTTTCATTATGCCGACCATTCTTTCGTAAAATCCTCCTTTCCAGGGGGATAACGGCGTTATGAACCTCCACTGAATCTGTTTCTTGCATGAGAATTCACTTAAAGTGTATTGTTGTTGTTGTTCTATACATTTT